TCTTGGCCTACAGCCCTCTTCTTTGGATGCGGGCTGTAGTCCACGAAAGCTTATGCTCTAATAAATTTGTTAGTCTCTAAGGTGCCACAAGTACTCCTGTTCTTTTTGCGGATACAGACTAACACGGCTGCTACTCTGAAATCTAACTTTATAGTACCTCACCCCCACTTTGCTAAATCTGTGCTGCCGTCCTGGTGCTGGCTGTTGCATCATTACACAGGGAGGTGAGAGCAATCAGCTCAGTAGGAGTGACACAAGCACAGCTGAATTTGATGGTCTCCAGTTTCTTATTTGACCATGTCATAGAACCACTCCATAGTTCAGGGCAGGTAGCAAGCAGCCTTTCCTCAAATCAGGGCTGAAATACCAGATCTCGAGGTAAGGTGATAAAGTTATGGGTATGAAGTGGCTCAAGTGAGTTCAGTTAGTCCTTTTATGAAAATTAAACTATATTTGTTTATCTGTCCTCCCTTTCCTTTAGTGGTGGAGAAATTATCATGTGTACATATTATCACAGGCAGCTCTGGTATTTAGGAACAAAAGTTTTCTGCATACCTTCATCAAAATATCTGGCAATCTCTTATTAGAGCCATGAATTTAATAACTGTAGAGAGACAAGGTGAATGAGGTAATATCTTTTACAATAGAACCTCAGAGTTATGAACACTGGAGTTACTCATTTGGAACTGCAAGTATGCAATCAGGCAGCAGCAGAGACCAAAAAAAAGCAAATATGGTATAGTACTGTATTAAATGTAAACTACTAAAAAAGAAAAAGGGAAAGTTTAAAAAAAAATTGACAAGGTAAGGAAACTGTTTCTATGCTTGTTTTATTTCAGTGGGTCTCAAACTTTTTTACTGGCGACCGCTTTCATATCGCAAGCCTCTGAGTGTGACCCCCCCCCAATAAATTAAACACCCTTTTAAATATATTTAACACCATTATAAATGCTGGAGGCAAGCTGGGTTTGGGGTGGAGGTTGACAGCTCGTGACCCCCCATGTAATGACCTCGTGACCCCCTGAGGGGTCTCGACCCCCAGTTTGAGAACCCCTGTTTTATTTAAATTAAGATGGGTAAAAGCAGCATTTTTCTTCTGAATACTAAAGTTTCAAAGCTGTATTAAGTCAATGTTCAGTTGTAAACGTTTGAAAGAACAACCATAACGTTTTGTTCAGAGTTATGAACAATCTCCATTCCTGAGGTGTTCAGAACTCTGAGATTCTACTGTATTGGACCAACTTCTGTTGGTGATGGACACAAGCTTTTGAGCTTAGATGGAGCTCTTCTGGTCTGAAGAAGAGCTCTGTCTAAGTTCAGTAGCTTATCTTACCAACAGAAGTTGATCCAACAAAAGATATTACCTCACCCACCTTGCGACTCAAATATCCTGGGACCAACATTGCTACAGCACCACTGCACACAACTTTAAGAACTGTGACAGTTTTTTCTCTTTTTACCAGAATTCTAAAGTGGAGGTGAATGTGCAGAAAACACTAGTTAATCAGGAAGCAAAGATTATTGTATACAGTTTGACTGGGTCATCAGCAGTGAACAGTAGTTTCTGAATGTATGTGAGGACAGTAAGGTTCATTCATATGTGATCACCTTGCTGAGTTCTGTTAATTAGTATTTCTGATATAAACAATGTGTGACTGATGACTTATTGTGACTGTCTTCAGTAAGTTGAGTTAACATCTTTCTCTTGTCTAATTGTAAATTAAACAAATGCCAAAAACTGAGGGGTTACACTCAAAATGCTGCAGCTGTGCCGCTGTAGTGCTTCAGTGTAGGTGCTGCCTATGCTGACAGGAGGGGTTCTCCTATTGGTAATCCACCTTTTTGAGATGGTTGCCAGATTGCCGAAAGAATTCTTCTGTCAATCTAGTACTGTATACATGGGGACCTAGGTTGGTTTAACAATGCTACTCAAGGGAGAGGATTTTCCACACCTTAAGCCGACCTAATTTTCTACTGTAGACCAGGCCTAACAGACTGTAGAGAGCATAAGGGAAACTTAATTGTTTAATTACATACATGTTTTCTTATGTTGCAAATGACTAGTAAGCAATGTTATTAAAAAATCTTTTTTATATAATTATAGATTTGCTGTGGAAATCTAGGTTTTCAAAATGAATAAAGATGCACAGATGAGAGCAACTATTAACCAAAAACTAATAGAAACAGGAGAGCGAGAACGGTAAGTAGATTTTTTTTTCTTATATGGTTTTTATGCTCATTAAATGTCATAAAATGACATAGCATGAAGGATGTCCTAAAAAGTAAAAAAGGCGAAATCCCTTCTATGATTGTAAATGCTGCAAAACAGTTGGGAAAATCTTGTGTATTATACCAGTAAAGAAGACTTAATTAAAATATTCAAAAGTAAGGAAAAATAAACCCTCTCGGCCAGTTTTTAACTAAAACAAAAAACTGGTAAAATAATAAGAGGTGGGAAAGTTGGCTTATAAATCCCAAGTGAACACCAGGGTTGTTGTTAATGGAGAAAACATCTTTATTGGATCTAAAATTACACCATTAAACAACGATGTTGCAATTTATTCTTTTTTTGGGCCAAGAGGGAGAGGTGCAGTTTCCTTTTTCTGTGTTCGAATTTCTTCCCTCATGCTTCTGTATGAGAGAAGAACATGAATATCTCTCATTTAGACTTTCAGCTATCTAGTTAACAGTGAATTGGTAGCCAGAAGAGACTGGATAATAGAATTTCTAAGCTAGAACTTATTTTCTTTGCTTTCTCAACTCTCTTCTTCCTCTTCCCTCTCTTTCACCCTTCATACTATATGCACAGTTTCTCCCTCTTTGTCAGAATGTTCTAAGTTTAAAATCCCTTGCATCAGTGGATCTCCAACTCCTTCATTTTCTGAGACCCTTGAAAGAGAGAGGTCCTCTCTCATGGACATTTTCCTTCCCATTATCATGTTTTGTGAATCACTGCCATGTTACTTTTCGCTTGTTCCCCTCCTAGTTGTGATGATGTATTTTGGAATAGTGCTTTGAAAAAATGCACACTTGCTACTAGGATGCTTAAAAGGATAATGAGGCATTGTTTACTCTTAAATCAGAGTAAAATAAGTTTTTATCAACTTTTTTGGCAGGAGGAGTGGAGAGAAATTGTTTCCCTAAAATATTATTGCACAAATAAAATCTAAGCACAGTATCAGGATTGTGTTCTGTTACACACAGTGGTGGAGCAGTAGAATTTTTTCTTGAATTCAGATTATCCAAAACAGCAAAGCAACCACAATTGGTTTTAATTTGGTCTTCCAGAATCCCCTACCTTGTCCTTCCTCATCCAAACATCTTACCTCTTAACATTCTACTGGTCAAAGAGGACTAGACTTCACACTTCAGACTGCTGGGCCAACTCCTTCAGTCAA